CGTGAGCGCAAATAATCGTGAATGGACGATAAACGGTATGCCTGGAGAGCCGCTTAGTCACGAGGAAGAGGGCATAGCTTTGCATCCTAAATCTTGAGCATAAATAAGAGTCATAGAATCATAGAATTGTACAGTTGGAAGGGACTCCAACGACATCTAGTTGACCCTCAGGGTCCCTTCTAACTCTACAATTCTATGATTCTGTGATCTAGTCCCTGCGATGCAGGAATCACAACTAAAGAATCCCTGATGGATGTCCACCCAACCTCTACCTTGTTTCAGGAAGTTTTTTATGTTTCACGTTTTAGTATGTTCTGATATATGCTGTGAGCCACCCAGAGTTGCTGGGGAAACCCAGCCAGATAGGCGGGTAAAGGACCCCTGACAGTTAAGTCCAGTTGTGGATGACTCTGGGGTTGAACGCTCATCTCGCTTTATAGGCCGAGGGAGCCGGCGTTTGTCCGCAGACAGCTTCCAGGTCATGTGGCCAGCTCTGGCGAACCAGAGCAGTGCATGGAAATGCTGTTTACCTTCCCGCTGGTGCGGTACCTATTTATCTACTTGCACTGGTGTGCTTTTAGACTGTTAGGTGGGCAGGAGCAGGGACCGAACAATGGGAGCTCATCCCGTTGCAGGGATTCGAACCACCGACCTTCTGATCAGCAAGCCTTAGGCTCTGTGGTTTAGACTACAGTGCGACCCACCACCCTGGCGGGGTATAAATAATAAAATTAATAATAATAACAATAATAATTGAAAAACCTTGAATGAAGGAGAGTCCACCACCTTCTGAAGGAGTTTTTTCTGCTTTGAACAGTTCTTGTTGTCTTGTTTTTTAGCTGAAATCTGCTTTCTCGTCATTTGAATCCATTGGTTTGCATCCTGTGCTTTGGAGGAGCAGAAAACCAGCTTGCTCCATCTCCCCTTCAGATATTTGAAGATGCCTATCATATCTCCTCTTAGTCTCCTCTTCTCCACGCTAAGCCAAACTCCCTCAGCCGTTCCTCATAACTTGGTTTCCAGACCCTTGATCATCTTGGCTGCTCTCCTCTGCACACCTTCCAGCTTGTCAACACCCTCTCTAAATTGCGGTACGCAGAACTGGAAACAGTATTCCAGGTGTGGCCTGACCAAAGCAGAATAGAACGGGACTATTACTTTCTTTGATCGGGACGCTAGACCTCTGCTCATGCAACCTAGTACATCATTAGCTAAATAGGACTTTACATTTGCTGAGAATTCCCTCTCTCTTTCTGAAATCTAAATGGTGGAGGGGTGTCACCTGTATCTAGTTTGTGTCTTTCTTGATTGTGTCTAGTTTCGTATTCCTTGGAAAATCTTCACCCTGAAGCTTCTCGGCAGTGCCCCCACCCTGTGTTTTTCCATGTTACTTGGGGGGGGGGAATTGAGTGGGAGCAGGGCTGATGAGTGGCGTCATTTTAATTAGAGAACCCTCCTTTGATTAGCTCTCTATCTTAATGATCTTGCTGCTATAAATTACCCAGGAAAGAATTGACAAAGGATTGCATTAGGTTTTCCCCCAACCCCTTTAGAGAGGCAACTGTAAGGTCGTTTTCTACTTCGTTAAGCCTGGGTGCCCTTCCCCCTTCTCATCCCTCATCTATCCTAGGACACCAGCTCCTTTTCCAAGATTGAAGTCGTGAGAGAAGAAAAAAGCGCTTTAACCTAGACGAATTTCCGGTCACTGCACACTGGTGATCTTTGTTCTTCCTCCAAAATCTGTTAATGCAAGCGGAAAAGAGACGGGGTGTGCAGAAAACTCTATCAGGACATAAGAACGTAAGATTTAAATAGAAAGCTGCCTATTTAAGAGTCAGAGCATTGGTCCCGATAGCTCAGTATTGTCTACACAAATGGGCAGGTTCCCTCCAAGCCCTACCTGAAGGAGCGTCTCCACCTCCATCGTTCTGCCCAGACACTGAGGTCCAGTGTCGAGGGCCTTCTGGCGGTTCCCTCGCTGTGAGAAGCGAAGTTACAGGGAACCAGCCAGAGGGCCTTCTCGGTAGTGGCACCTGCCCTGTGGAACGCCCTCCCATCAGATGTCAAAGAGACAAACAACTACCTGACATTTAGAAAATATCTGAAGGCAGCCCTGTTTAGGGAAGCTTTTAATGTTTAATAGACTAATGTATTTTTATATTCTGTTATACCACAGAGCCTAGGACTTGCCGATCAGAAGGTCGGCGATTCGAATCCCCGCAATGGGGTGAGCTCCTGTTGCTCGGTCCCTGCTCCTGCCAACCTAGCAGTTCAAAAGCACACCAGTGCAAGTAGATAAATAGGTACCGCTCTGGCGGGAAGGTAAACGGCGTTTCCGTGCGCTGCTCTGGTTCGCCAGAAGTGGCTTAGTCATGCTGGCTACATCACCCGGAAGCTGTACGCTGGCTCCCTCGGCCAATAAAGCGAGATGAGCGCTGCAACCCCAGAGTCAGTCACGACTGGACCTAATGGTCAGGGGTCCCTTTACCTTTTCCCCAACTCTCTCATTCTATGGAATAAGGCAGGTTCTTATGTTCCAATGTTCCAGGAACCTTCTGCATACAAACAGACGCTTCACCACCAAGCTGTTCCTTTCCCCTTGCTTTTGTGCCACCATCCATTTGCCTCTGAATTCCTGGCATAAATCTTCCAGTGGTTCCTTGTCACTGAAAAAGCCTCCATGTCTGCATTGATGCACCTCGGGAAGCAGCCGTGCAGTGAATTCAGGGCACCCAATTTACATAATGTGGAAGCAATTGATTGCGAGGAGGTGATGAGTAATTGTCTCAACAGCCCGGACTCCATTTACTGTTTCCTCGCCTGCCGCTTCAGCAATCAAACTGCCTCCTGATGGAGCTTTTTCCACTGAGAGCGTGCAAAAGATCCAGAAGGAGATTCTTCCTCCAGTGCCTTTGCCTTCTGCTTCCCAGGAGACTCCACAAATGGCCTGCCCTGGAAAGGGGCTGGTTTAGGGATGGTGGTGTAGCAGGGACCCTTTTAAAAACCAGGGACCTTTGGCTGCGATTGCATCTGTCCCTGGGGCCAAAAATGCACCTGTTCCCTGAATCACAGAGCACATGATTAACAGGAGCTGTCAAGAAGAATATTGACCGTCAAGAAGGATGCTGTCCCTTTAAGAATCAGAGAAGGAAGAAGCGCTGGTCCACAGAGCTAGGAAAAGATAAGGAGTAATTGATGACTCCTGATTCCCTTTCTCTTTTAGAAATACCGCTATCTAAAGCACAGACATCACCTTGCCAACAAAGGTCTGTATAGTAAAAGCTATGGTTTTCCCAGTAGTGATGTATGGAAGTGAGAGCTGGACCATCAAGAAGGCTGATCGCCAAAGAATTGATGCTTTTGAATTCTGGTGCTGGAGAAGACTCTTGAGAGTCCCTTGGACTGCAAGAAGATCAAACCTATCCATTCTGAAGGAAATCAGCCCTGAGTGCTCACTGGAAGGACAGATCCTGAAGCTGAGGCTGCAATACTTTGGCCACCTCATGAGAAGAGAAGACTCCCTGGAAAAGACCCTGATGCTGGGAAAGATGGAGGGCACAAGGAGAAGGGGATGACAGAGGATGAGATGGTTGGATAGTGTTCTCGAAGCTACGAACATGAGTTTGACCAAACTGCAGGAGGCAGTGGAAGACAGGAGGGCCTGGTATGCTCTGGTCCAGGGGGTCACGAAGAGTTGGACACGACTAAACAACAACAACAATTTGCAATGGCTAAATCGATCATGTCTGCATGTGAGGGGTCACATTTGGGGTTGAGTTTCTTTTTCAGGGAGGGGTTGAGGCCAGTGTCAAATCTAGCTAGATGTCCCTTTCCTGGGCTGAAGACTGCTATACTATGTCACTTCTGCTAGTGGTGTCTTTGAAGACAGAAACATAGCAGCTCAGCCCCTATGTCTTCTTCTACAGGCTCTTCCTTTGCATGGAAAGAAATCTGCTTTTTGCAATATGCCCTCACCGTGTAGTGTATCTGAGTACATGCAGAGTGCATTTTTCTAGCCACAGGTTGCAGTAAATCCACATAAGGGGGGAAAAGCGAATTTGAGCAGAGTGTCTCTTCTGTAATACTGCCTTTTTCTTTTTTCTTTCGGTAAGTGGGGAAATAGTGAAAACCCCCAATCACTCAATTTTGTTCTGGCTTTATAATCCTGCTATCCTGGTGACTTGAGCATTCTGAGCGGGCTGGTAAAATTCTGGCTGGATATATGAGCAAGAACCCCACTGGGAAGGAGTGCAATGCGTTATAATGGGTTGTAGAATCTGAATTATTTGCCGCTTTCTGTGAAATTCGCCTCCTGCTAATCATTGGCTGAACTTGAGCTGTTGCAATTCTGGGTGTTATGTACTGAAGTTCTCACCCTGGGCCAGCAGGGGGATACTGTAGATAGTTTTCACTCAGGTCCGCATATACAAATAAGGAATTGAAAGTGGCGTTCAGTGATTGGATAGTTACAGAAAGTTGTTACTGTTGCGTTGTAGTGGAGCTCTATATAAGCAGGTTGGCTGAACCCTTCAGTTCAGTTCTGTTCTGGGCCTGTGAATAAATAAGAGCTGTCTGAAGAATCGCTGTGTCGTCTGATATGTTCACCCACAACTTAACACTGAGCTGCTTGGAATATTTGGCTCCATAACCTACCTAGAATGTTGAGGCCCATCCCTGGTGCAGGTGCGAGAATAATGAGCTCTCTGAGCATGTACAGAGGCTTCCACAGACTCATAAACCCTGACCCTTATTTATGTACCCGAATCCCCTGAATTTCTGTTTGGTTTTATGTGCTTTTACGCTGCCGGTTTTGGGTGGTAGTTTGGTTTTAATGACGCTGCTTGTTTTTATGCTGCATTTACAAACTCTAAATGTTTTTCAATAAATCAAATTGAGTAAATATCAGTCTCACATCTGGAGCAGCTAAAACCAGTCTGCACTTTCCCCGGGAAATGGGGCCCTTTCTTCTAACCCAGATTTTTCCTCCTTCCCCCCCACAGAGCCAGCTGTCTCAGGCGCTGAACGGACTCTCAGACAGAGCAAAGGAGGCCAAAGAATTTCTGGTGCAACTACGGAACATGGTGCAGCAAATCCAGGTACGCTCTCGAATCCGCCAGGTGGAAGTGGGAGCTGGATGCAGCATTTGGGGAGCTGAAACCGAAAGCCCAAATTGGAACCCTGGCCACTGCCCAGCCAAGCAGCCCCCTAACCAGATGCCCTCCAGCCATTTTGTTTTGTTTTTTGTTTATTTAATTTTTTAAACATAATTATTACAAAATATAAGCAAAATATTGCAAATACATACATATATATTTCAGATAAGCACACATATAAAAAAGAACAAAGGAACAAAAGATAAAAAGAAGAAAAGAAAAAAGAAGAGGAAAAACAAAGAGAAGAAAAGAAGAAAAGTTGGAAGAATTTCTTCCAAATTTCTTCTACAAATATCTCAATATGAAATGAATAATAAAATTTCATTGATTGACTTCCATCGCTTACACTGCACTTCCTATATACATCTTAAGCAAGGTTGTATCTGTTATTCTGTATTTTCCCCATACTATCTCATGCAAATATTCTAATCACTAAAGTTTTCTAAATCTTTCATAAATCTATTCTAAACACAACCAATACCTCCAGCTGTTTTGGATTAGAACTCCCATCAGCCCCCGACCATGATGACTGGGGGCAGACCCACACCATAATTTAAATCATCCATAGTTTAAAGCACCCAGCGTGCAAGCCAAGCACATGGCTTCCCCCAAAGTGTCCTAGGAATGGTTAAGAGCATGAGATGAACTTGTTGAATCAGGCCAATGCCCTACTGAGTCCAACGTCCTGTTCTCAGAGTAGCCACCCACATGCTTGTGGTAAGCGCGCAAGCACAGGATTTGAACACGAGAGCAACATTCTCCCATCCCATAAAGGTAAAGGTAAAGGTACCCCTGCCCGTACGGGCCAGTCTTGACAGACTCTGGGGTTGTGCGCCCATCTCACTCAAGAGGCCAGGGGCCAGCGCTGTCTGGAGACACTTCCGGGTCACGTGGCCAGCGTGACATCACTGCTCTGGCAAGCCAGAGCCGCACATGGAAACGCCGTTTACCTTCCCGCTTGTAAGCGATCCCTATTTATCTACTTGCACCCGGGGGTGCTTTCGAACTGCTACGTTGGCAGGCGCTGGGACCGAACGACAGGAGCGCACCCCGCCGCAGGGATTCGAACCGCCGACCTTTCGATCGGCAAGCCCTAGGCGCTGAGGCTTTTACCGACAGCGCCACCCGCGTCCCATAAAGGTAAAGGTAAAGGAACCCCTGCCCGTACGGGCCAGTCTTGCCAGACTCTAGGGTTGTGCGCTCATCTCACTCTATAGGCCGGGAGCCAGTGCTGTCCGCAGACACTTCCGGGTCACGTGGCCAGCGTGACATCGCTGCTCTGGCAAGCCAGGGCAGCACACGGAACACCGTTTACCTTCCCGCTAGAAAGCGGTCCCTATTTATCTACTTGCACCCAAAGGTGCTTTCGAACTGCTAGGTTGGCAGGCGCTGGGACCGAACGACAGGAGCGCACCCCGCCGCAGGGATTCGAACCGCCGACCTTTCGATCGGCAAGTCCTAGGTGCTGAAGCTTTAACCCACAGCGCCACCTGCGTCCCATAGTTCCCAGCAATTGGTAGTTTTTTAAAGGTCCTGAGAATTGCAGCTCTGTGAGGAGGAAACTACGTGTGGCGATCGCACACAGGGCCCCCGGACATTTGACGGTCTATTGACCCTGTGCCGCCACTGCGATTGCTTTTTCCGCTGCCACCACCCCGCTTCTCACGGGGACACACAGAGTCCAGTCAGTGGTTAACATAAACAAATAATCAAGTTTATTTTTAAATGCAGGAACAAGCTTATGGTTTCAGTTAATTTTTCTCTTGACAGTTTCTTATTCTTAGTTCCTAACAACTCCAAACTGATTCTTCCAACTATCTATCTGACTCCACCTAACAATTCCTCTCACTCTCTCACAGTACAACTCTACCAACCCACTGCCTATTCCTCCCTCTTCCTTCTTCAACTCCCCAAGCCTCAACTTCACTCAACTCAACTCAACTGACTTTCAAAACCTCCCACTCTAACTTTTATTCCCCCCTTGCATTCTCACTAGCCAATCACATCACACCTATTTTAACCCTTTCCTTATGACTCATCCTAGGAGGCAAACGCCACACTACGGTTCCCAGATTTCATTTTGGGGGGGAAAGTCATGTGCTTTTCCTGTGCATTGGAAGTCCTTTGAACCCCAGGGCTGATGGGAGCTGTGGCCTAAAACAGCTGGTGGGCACAAGGTTGGCAAAGCCTGCTCTCTTGGACCATGTCACTTATGTGCTTTTTAAAATATTTATATTTTATTTTAAAAATTCAGTGAAAATATGATATGAAAGAAAAGAAATGTAAAAGGAAAGAAAGAGGAAAAGTTATCAAAACAATTCAATACAACAGCATATATAAGTACAGTGGTACCTCAGGTTACAGACGCTTCAGGTTACATACGCTTCAGGTTACAGACTCCGCTAACCCAGAAATAGTGCTTCAGGTTAAGAACTTTGCTTCAGGATGAGAACAGAAATCGTGCTCTGGCGGCACGGCAGCAGCAGGAGGCCCCATTAGCTAAAGTGGTGCTTCAGGTTAAGAACAGTTTCAGGTTAAGTACGGACCTCCGGAATGAATTAAGTTCTTAACCTGAGGTACCACTGTACATAAGCAGCACTTTTTGTTTGTTTTTGCGGGCCCAGTCGCAGTGCCACCCCCACCCCCAGGCAGTGGCTAAATGTAAGATGTGATTCATAAACTCAAGCACACAATGATCTCAATTAGAAATGGCCACAGCTTTATTGATTGCAGATATAAGTGGATTTTTGGCTCGGGCGTTGGGTTTTACATCCATTCCAGCCTTCCCAGACCAAAAAATATATATTTAATTTTAAAAAAGGTAAGTGAACTTGGTTCCCACGAGTTCCTGCTCCAAAATAACCCTGCACATTAGTAGCACAATTAATCCAACAAATTCTTAACACGGCATTATGCTTTTTACAAACTGATTCCAAATATTTATCCGCACGCAATCTGTGTTTCAAAGCAATCCGTTCGTATGTTGCTAGAGTCATCATCTCTTTCTAATGAGCCACGGCACATTACCTTTCCGACGAAAGAATATCGGTCTTTTCGCAGAAGTAAGGCCACGGAGAGTCCGTTTACACCGACCCTTTGTCAAACCCCAGGCAGCTGGCATATAGTTCAAAATAATATTACCATCGGACAGTTTAAATTCCTCCCACCCCAGGTAGTATTTGGGCAAGATGGAGAGGTGTTGGGTACCACTGCTGTTGCTGCAGCATCTTCTAAAGATATAGCATAGCCGAAGCAATTATTCTCCGTGCAGCCTCCCTGCCCCCCAGCCAAGCCTGATAACATCTCTGCAAATGTGCCTGGTGGGTTAATGCAAACCTCCGGAGGAATTGGGCTTCCATGCAGCATTGATTTAAAGTGTGGCTCCTGGGCTGTGGATAGCTGGCTTTGGTTTCCAGGAAGGCTGCTCCTCCCCGCCTTTCCCCATTAAGCTGTGGAGAGTCATCCATCACAGCCAGGCTGAGCTGTTGCCAAATTAAACCCCCGCCCCCTACCGCTGCCTCATCCCACTTTGTATGCCTTGATGTTAGTAATCCCTCTTGGGACTAATCCTGCCTCGCCTAACAGAGCAGCCCTGCTGTGGACAGAGACACACAACTGTTTCAGTCAAGGGGTTTGATCTCCAGGAATGGGTTGGAAAGACCAGGGAGGTTTTGCAGGAGCTCTGCTTTCTCAAGGCAGCACAGAGATGCTGTTCGATTGTAAGGGCCTGATTTTGCTCCGGTAGCTCAATTGTGTTACCAGTTTTTGTGTGGAGGAGGGGTAATGTAAGGGCTGAGCCACACCAGGGCAGGATTAAGCAAAATAAGCACGCGCTTAGGGCATCAAGGGGAAGGGGGGGGGCACCGCAGAATTTTTCCATTGCTGGATTTTTAAACATTCATGGTCACAAATGGCTCAGCTGAGCATTCATTTCCTCAGCTGAAGTATATTTAAAATCCCAATAGAACAACTATCTCAACTAAGTGTAGAAGCAGATGTTTTACATAAGATTAGTTTTGAGGATCTGGTCAAAGACTACAATTAGAAAAAGCAGGAGAATTTTTGTCAGATATAAATAAAGTGGAAGTAGACAAAAATAAACACTCTTTCCCATTTTACTGTAGGTTTTGTTTCATTTCAAAAAGTGAAAATTTATTTTATGGTTTATTATGGTTTATATTTTGAATTAGATATATATACAGGGCACCCAAATCCTTTAAGTGCTTAGGGTCTCTAAAGGTCTTAATCTGGCCCTGATCCACACTTACTCTTATCCCACTGCTTCCCCCACCCCCGGGCAAAACTGCTCTTTAGCGCTCAGTTGGAGCAAACAGCAATTTGGTTTTTGCACAGATTGCTGTTTGCTCCGATTTAGAGCTAAAGACTGGGTTTTTCCTGGGAAAGGAGCAGGGCAAGGTAGAAACTGCTCAGGTCCATGCTTTCTAGGACAAGCAAAAGTGTGGGTGAGCCCTTAGTTGAGCGGTAAATGTGCATAACAACCAGCCATTGTGCACATTCACCAGGCCGCCTGGAGAATGTGCACATCATCTGCACATGAAATGTGTACGTTTCTTAGTCAATATCTGCCACCTCCAGCGGGCCTTGGGGAATCTTCATGCAGCTCAGGAGAGCTTTCCCCAACCTAGTGCCCTCCAGATGTTTGGGGCTGCATCTCTCATCTGCCATACCCCCTGGGACTGATGTGAATGCTACTCTGCAACATCTGGAGGGCACCAAGTCAGGGTAGACTTGCATGAGGACAAGACCATGTAATGGGAGCTGCTTCAACTGTCCCTATCACTGGGACCATCTCACAGGTGTTTTACCCCACAGGAGAACAGCGTGGAGTTTGAAGCCTGCCTCGTCGCCCAGTGTGATGCCCTCATTGATGCCCTCAACCGGAGGAAAGCTCAGCTGTTGACGCGGGTCAACAAGGAACATGAGCACAAGCTGAAGGTTGGTCTGGGGTGAGGGTGGTGGTGATGTATCTGGGGGCACCGTACGGCCTTTGGACAAGAACGGCCAGCAAGGTTGGCATGGGTGATGGACACAGATGGGAGACAGTCGCAGGAGGGGAAAGTACCCTTGTGCTGGGGTCCTACTTGGGGGTTTCCCATTGGGGCTACGGGTTGTCCACTGTGAGAAGTGGATGCTGGACTCAGTGGGCCATCATCATCGCCCAGCAGAGCTCTTCTGAGTAATAAACAAGAAGATAAGAAGGTGGGGGCTGGCTGAGGGCAGACTGAGGATGGTGAGACAAGATCCATAAAGGTAAAAGGTAAAGGATCCCTGGACGGTTAAGTCCAGTCAAAGGCGACTATGGGGTTGCGGTGCTCATCTCGCTTTTCAGGCCGAGGGAGCCGGTGTTTGTCCACAGACAGCTTTCCAGGTCATGTGGCCAGCAGGACTAAACCACTTCTGGTGCAACGGACACCGTGACGGAAACCAGAACGCACGGAAACACTGTTTGCTTTCCTGCCACAGTGGTACCTATTTATCTACTTGCACTGGTGTGCTTTCGAACTGCTAGATTGGCAGGAGCTGGGACGGAGCAACGGGAGCTCACTCCATTGCGGGGATTCGAACCGCCGACCTTCCGATTGGCAAGCCCCAGGAGCACCCGCGTCCCTAAAATATGGATCCATATAGGTAGCTACATCTCTACATTTGTGAGAACTGGTGCCCTCCAGTTATTTTGGATTTCAACTGCCATCGCCTTAAGCCTGCACACTTGTTTTGCTGTTGTTGTTTAGTCGTTTAGTCGTGTCCGACTCTTCGTGACCCCCTGGACCAGAGCACGCCAGGCCCTCCTGTCTTCCACTGCCTCCCGCAGTTTGGTCAAACTCATGTTCGTAGCTTCGAGAACACTGTCCAACCATCTCGTCCTCTGCTATCCCCTTCTCCTTGTGCCCTCCATCTTTCCCAACATCAGGGTCTTTTCCAGGGAGTCTTCTCTTCTCATGAGGTGGCCAAAGTCTTGGAGCCTCAGCTTCAGGATCTGTCCTTCCAGTGAGCGCTCAGGGCTGATTTCCTTCAGAGTGGAGAGGTTGGATCTTCTTGCAGTCCATGGGACTCTCAAGAGTCTTCTCCAGCACCAGAATTCAAAAGCATCCATTCTTCGGTGATCAGCCTAATTTATGGTCCAGCTCTCACTTAAAACCATAGCTTGAACTATACGGACCTGCACACACAATTCAGGGATAGCTGAGCAGGTCTTCTCCCTGCTCCACCCAGACTCCCTGAAGCCCCCACCCGCCTCCAGCGGACGCAGGAATGATTAGAGGGCTGGGATGATTTAGGGATGAGGGTGCCGCCACCATGGGAGGGAGGGGGCCTGGAAACTGCCGTGGCAACAGTTGCCATAGAAACACCCGGAGATGGAGGGAGGGAGGGATGGCAGTGTGTGTGGCATGCGGAAGACCAGCAGCAACAGATAAGCCCAGGGAGAATTGACCTTGGAGATGGAGGGCAGCTGCATTTGTGCTGTGCACACTCCACTCCGAGGAAAGGTTACAGCTCCTTTCCCAGGAGGGGGTTTGCGGCTGCACAAGAGAATTGATTGAAAGGAAATGGACTAGCGGAGGAACGAGAGAGTCCATCTCCCGGGCATTTTCACTGCACCACTGCAACACAGGCTGAATGTAGGAAGAAGGTTGCTCCTAACTGGGTCGGCCGGAGCCAAAAGTCTCTCCCCCTGGGAATAGTCAAAGGCAGCAGTGCTGAGATGTTTTCCAGCCCAGTAAACTCAAACACATTTCTGCCTATTCAGCAGAGGATTCCAATAGGTTTCCCTGCATGCACAGAGGCGTCCAGCTCAGAGCTTTTGGCTTTCCACCCTCATCCTTCCCTTAGACCTCTCTCTCTCTCTGTGTCTTTGAACACCGCTGGCATTTTCAGAGCAGAACTGAGATGTCTCTTCAAAGCAAACCCGTGTCACTCCTTACAGTAGAATGGGGCTGCAACAAGTTTTTCTGGTACCCTGCACAGCGGTTGGGATGGGGTGGTTGATCCAAACTGAACCATAGAATTGCAGAGTCAGAAGGGACCCCAGCGCGCATCTGGTCCAACCCCCCGGCAATGCAGAAATATCTTTGCCCAACGTAGGGCTCAAACCTATGACCCAGAGATTAAGAAGTTTAGGGAAGCTTTTAATGTTTGATGTCTTATCGTGTTTTTAATATTCTATTGTGAGCCTCCCAGAGCATTCCACAAATGGGGAGCCACCACAGAGAAGGCCCTGTTCCAGACCCTCCAAGCGTCCCTATATTCTAGGGATGTCCCTGATTTAGAGAATCCGTCCCAATATCCTCTGGATTCAGCTTGGATGCCAAAAGAACCCAGACAGCAATTGTCAGTCAAATGCAGGGCCGGCCCACCCATGAGGCAAGATGAGAAGACCACCTCAGGCAGAAGGATCCACAAGGAGAGCAGATCCCAATATAGACTGGATTTGATATCCTGCTTTATCACTACCCAAAGGAGTCTCAAAGCGGCTAACATTCTCCTTTCCCTTCCTCCCCCACAACAAACACTCTGTGAGTGGGGCTGAGAGACTTCAGAGAAGTGTGACTGGCCCAAGGTCACCCAACAGCTGCATGTGGAGGAGCAGGGAAGCGAACCTGGTTCCCCAGATTACGAGTCCACCGCTGTTAACCACTACACCACACAGATTGTTATTCCCTGCCTTGTTCCCAATGTAGATCTTCACTCACCCCTCCTTTCCTGGCGGGAAGGGAAGGGACGCCATTTTGTGGTTCGCCTCAGGCGCCAAAATGTCTTGGGCCGGCCCTGGTCAAACAGGATGTTGCCAGAGCAATGCCATCTTAACCAGCAAGGAGCTGAGAGGGGACACACCAAATACAGAACCCCCCCAAGCTGTCCCAGGTTCTGATTTGATCCTGGAATGTCACACTTATCCTTAGGATGTCCCTATTTTCATTGGGAAATGTTGGAGGTTATGGAATTATCCGACCCCCGAGCCGTCTGAAGGCAATCCTCTATAGGGAAGTTTTAAAAATGTTTAATGTTTTATTATGTTTTTATATATGTTGGAAGCTGCCTAGAGTGGCCGGGGAACCCAAATAATAATAATAATAATAATAATAATAATAATAATAATAATAATATTTATATCCCGCCCTCCCCGGCCAAAGCTGAGCTCAGAGCGGCTAACAACAAGTAAAAATAGCACAGTGTACATAAAATCACCTGTTGTCTTTGTCCATTGAGTTTTCTTGGCAGGGATACTGGAGTGGCTTGCCGGTTCCTGCTCCAGGTGGATCACATTTGATCAAAACTCTCCACTAAGACCTGTCCATCTTGGGTGGCCCTGCATGGCATAGCTCATAGCTTCTCTGAGTTATTCAAGCCCCTTTGCCACGGCAAAGCAGTGATCCATGAAGGATCCATGATAAAATCACCATATAGTTAAAGCAATGGTTTTCCCAGTAGTGATGTATGGAAATGAGAGCTGGACCATAAAGAAGGCTGATCGCCAAAGAATTGATGCTTTTGAATTATGGTGCTGGAGGAGATTCTTGAGAGTCCCATGGACTGTGAGAAGATCAAACCTCTCCATTCTGAAGGAAATCAGCCCTGAGTGCTCACTGGAAGGACAGATCCTGAAGCTGAGGCTCCAAGACTTTGGCCACCTCATGAGAAGAGAAGACTCCCTGGAAAAGACCCTGATACTGGGAAAGATGGAGGGCACAAGGAGAAGGGGATGACAGAGGATGAGATGGTGGGACAGTGTTCTCAAAGCTACTAACATGAATTTGACCAAACTGCGGGAGGCAGTTTAAGATAGGAGTGCCTGGTGTGCTCTGGTCCAGGGGGTCACGAAGAGGCGGACATGACTAAACAACTAAACAACAACATCATAAAACCACATAGTCAATTAATAAAAATACATTCTAAAATCAATTCAGAATCAAATTAATGGCAACCATTGGGCTAGAGTTCTGTGAGGATTACAGAAGGAGAGAGGGGGTCAGGCTGTGCCTTGGCCAAAGGCCTGGTGGAACAGCTCCATCTTGCAGGTCCTTCAGAAAGATGTCAAGTCCCACAGGGTCCTAGTCTCTTGTGACAGAGCGTTCCACCAGATTGGGGCCACGGTCGAAAAAGCCCTGGCTCTTGTTGTGGCCCGGGACCTCCAAGATGTTTTGTTTGAAGGCTGCAAGATCCTCTGTGGGGCATACCAGGAGAGGCGGTCCCATAGGTATAGGCCATATAGGGCTTTAAAGGTTAAAACCAGCACCTTAAACCTGATCCTGTACTCCACCGGGAGCCAGTGCAGCTGGTATAGCACAGGGTGAATGTGATCCCGTGGCAAGGACCCCATAAGGAGTCTTGCCGCTGCATTCTGCGCCCGCTGGAGTTTCTGGGTCATTCTCAAGGGCAGCCCCACGTAGAGTGAGTTACATGTGTGGGGTATAAATTGCAAAGGGGTGTAATTTAAAAAATTATCCTTATGGAATGGGATGCCCCTATTTCCATCGGAGAAATGTTGGAGGGTATGCCGTTCTCATGTTGCCACCCCATGTGGACAGGGCACTCAGAGAACAGCCTCAGATGATGTACACAGAGTTTGGATGATGAAGAAATGATCACCGCAGTTCTCAAGATGCTGGGTTCTGCTCCCTTTCCTGAATCATACAACCTGCAAGGGCTCCAAGATTGTGAAATGACAGAGTTCGTTCAGCTTGTTCTGATTAGAAGAGTGGGGTGTGTGTGTGTGTGTGTGTGTGTGTGTGTGAGAGAGAGAGAGAGAGAGAGAGAGAGAGAGAGAGAGAGGAGAAGCTCAGGAGGAAGAAACAGATGACGTTTGCAAAGCTGATAATGAGCTTTGGGGTCTCTTAAAGGACTTGGATGTAACTTGAGTTCCCTTGAGCAGTTATTTACACAACATCACCCCTCAGTAATGAGTGCCCTGGCCCTCCCGGCTCCCCATCTTCTCT